GCGCCACGCTACGGAGAGTTTAGGCAGGTAAATTGAGTTTACTATCGTCTGTACAGTATTATATATAAATTATATATAAATTAGGTACTGTATATATAATTATATATTAAGTTAATTTATTGTAACTTTATTATAATTATGTATATACTTTCCGCCGTCCAGCGCTACGCTACGGAGAGTAATTAAAATTAAGGTAATTTTTCTCTTTTAGATTTACAGCAATTTTAATAATTAAAAAAGAATATAAACATTTTCGAAATTTACTTTTCAATTTTTAACACTTTTCGCTCCTGTAGCCATTAAGGGGCATTATATAACATCATCTGTGACGCAATATCGACGTACTAAAGTAAGTTTTAAAGTTTACGATCTTTCTATCACGTTGGTGGGTGCAGTTTTAATACCTTTATTAGTAGTGAAATCACATTGAGAATATACAGCGAATAATAAACGAAGAGGGTAACTGTACTAAACAAAATACGAAATTAATCTATTAATTGACATATTTATTATTAACAGAAATTGAAAAATATTCAATAGTATATAAATCACTCTCAATATATAACACAGATTGTATAACTTATTTGTTAGATGCCTCGATGAAATCTATCGCGCCGTTCGGATTGTACAGTACATGATTAATCCGTATTCCTGTATATTGAATAACAAGGAACAAAAAATATACTTTACATTTTCAGTGTTAATTCGAATATACACGCATTTCGTAGAGATCATTCTCTGAATGGTGAATATTCTGTTCTTCGTAAGGTTAATCGATGACAACCTTTACAGTTTGCGAGATAAGAATATGTACAAAGAAAGTGCTTTAGAAGAGTCAATAGTAAATGCATTGATATCGAGAGGAAGAAAATTCGCTACGACGGTCGTGTGAATATATCAATATTAACAAACGTAATTAATAATTGATAACTCTACATCACTGATAACACGGTATCAACCTGTCAAGAGATGTGTCTTTTATGTAATCGAATTTATAAAAAATGCAAACATATGAAATTTAAATCAGTAATTATTCCTTCTAAATTATTGGTAAATACGAACCGTTTGAGCATATTTGAATTTCAAAAATCATGCAAATCTGACATTAATTATTAAAATTAAAATTATATTATAATATGTTATTAAAACACTAAAAAATATAGATATAAGCGATTTTATTAGTTAAGAATCAGTAATGTTAATATTTGGTGCTAAGTTTGCACTAATTAACTATTTCAATTTCGTTTTTCCTAGAACAGTTTCACGTGGAATGTTTCAAAGTAAATATTCGTTTATCATTGGAATTACGTAAGATATATTTTTTTATTTTATTCGCTAATGTAGTGAATATATAAAGAAATTTATTAAATTTAGTAAATATTTACTAAGTATAAAGTAGGGAGTAATCTAAAGTTTCCTTATTTTCCATACATCGTCTTCACAAAATAACTGAAAGGTTCTGATTTATGTTTTGGCTGTATCGTAAGATCACATATTCCTTTTGTATTATAGAAAAAATATGCCAATTCGTGTTAACTAATCGAAAATACTTTGAGAGTGACATCACTTAGTTTGGATCAGTAATGGAAGTACAGTGGGTGATCGGTTAACGAACAAATCGGATAACGAACACTTTCGCGAAAGATTTTTATGATCGGACAACGAACACATGTTCGGATAACGAACACTTGACTGAACAAACACAAAAAGAAGAGACGTAAAATAACGAATACTGATTGGTCTTCCTNACGCAATATCGACGTACTAAAGTAAGTTTTAAAGTTTACGATCTTTCTATCACGTTGGTGGGTGCAGTTTTAATACCTTTATTAGTAGTGAAATCACATTGAGAATATACAGCGAATAATAAACGAAGAGGGTAACTGTACTAAACAAAATACGAAATTAATCTATTAATTGACATATTTATTATTAACAGAAATTGAAAAATATTCAATAGTATATAAATCACTCTCAATATATAACACAGATTGTATAACTTATTTGTTAGATGCCTCGATGAAATCTATCGCGCCGTTCGGATTGTACAGTACATGATTAATCCGTATTCCTGTATATTGAATAACAAGGAACAAAAAATATACTTTACATTTTCAGTGTTAATTCGAATATACACGCATTTCGTAGAGATCATTCTCTGAATGGTGAATATTCTGTTCTTCGTAAGGTTAATCGATGACAACCTTTACAGTTTGCGAGATAAGAATATGTACAAAGAAAGTGCTTTAGAAGAGTCAATAGTAAATGCATTGATATCGAGAGGAAGAAAATTCGCTACGACGGTCGTGTGAATATATCAATATTAACAAACGTAATTAATAATTGATAACTCTACATCACTGATAACACGGTATCAACCTGTCAAGAGATGTGTCTTTTATGTAATCGAATTTATAAAAAATGCAAACATATGAAATTTAAATCAGTAATTATTCCTTCTAAATTATTGGTAAATACGAACCGTTTGAGCATATTTGAATTTCAAAAATCATGCAAATCTGACATTAATTATTAAAATTAAAATTATATTATAATATGTTATTAAAACACTAAAAAATATAGATATAAGCGATTTTATTAGTTAAGAATCAGTAATGTTAATATTTGGTGCTAAGTTTGCACTAATTAACTATTTCAATTTCGTTTTTCCTAGAACAGTTTCACGTGGAATGTTTCAAAGTAAATATTCGTTTATCATTGGAATTACGTAAGATATATTTTTTTATTTTATTCGCTAATGTAGTGAATATATAAAGAAATTTATTAAATTTAGTAAATATTTACTAAGTATAAAGTAGGGAGTAATCTAAAGTTTCCTTATTTTCCATACATCGTCTTCACAAAATAACTGAAAGGTTCTGATTTATGTTTTGGCTGTATCGTAAGATCACATATTCCTTTTGTATTATAGAAAAAATATGCCAATTCGTGTTAACTAATCGAAAATACTTTGAGAGTGACATCACTTAGTTTGGATCAGTAATGGAAGTACAGTGGGTGATCGGTTAACGAACAAATCGGATAACGAACACTTTCGCGAAAGATTTTTATGATCGGACAACGAACACATGTTCGGATAACGAACACTTGACTGAACAAACACAAAAAGAAGAGACGTAAAATAACGAATACTGATTGGTCTTCCTTTGTCTTCAGGCAACAATTCAAAACTTTTCGGAGCGCGGGAGACGTCGACATCGACGTTCTACCCAGTATATACTGATAGGATAGTATTCTCCCGAACTTTGAAACTCTCCCTTGTAATTCCAGCTTTTTATATTTCTGACAGAAACAATTCTTTTACATTTTCTTATGAAAATGCGGATTTATGCCGATATCTGCTATTAAAGATCTTTTAAAGAAGTGGGAGGACGTTGTTCTGACAGAACAACGGTCTTAAAATGGCATCCAAACCAGGTTGAGGTTAATAGGCCTAGGGTTCTCTACAATTACAATGCTATTAATTACTTCTGAAAAATCATAAAGAAGACAGAAAAGCAATCGACATTGGACAGATTCTTTAATTAATTAATTAACCCCCACAAACGGAAAAAACATGACTAATAAAAATGCAAGACCGTGTATATATGTATTTTTATTATTACATATAAATAAACGTAATAAGAAAGTATAGTCTATATTTTTTATTTTTTGGAGGTCTCCAGAACGAATTAATCAAATTCCCATAGAAACCTATGGTAAATCGATAATCGGTTAACGAACAATTCGGATAACGAACAAAGTCTTGGAACGGATTATGTTCGTTAACCGATCACCCACTGTATTAATAACTGCATCCTATTTATTTTTCAGATTTTTCAACACTGGTCTTAAATAATGCCAAATATCGTTTCTACATTTAAAACTTCTTCGTGTAAACAATTGTAAAGTTTTTAACATATCATTAAATTGAAAGTTAATGCTACAGTTAATTATTTCTTCTCAATGTCTAATTTCTACATTATTTGTTTAAGATGTATCTTGGAGGCAGCCAACATTTCTCTTGATGAATTTCCTTCAAAAATTACAAGTTTTCAAATAGTGACTAAATACTTACATTTGAAAAAAAATAAATAAATTTGATATTGTAAAGTAATTACTTCCAAGCTATGCAGAAGTAACTTTATCTGCATTTCTTTGTAGTAATTAAAATATATGAATTATTTTGTACGTAACATTCATGTTTAGTATTTTGTATTTCGTAGATTTTCTGCATTAAAGTCCGAAGAAGAAGAAGTTTTTCTGTGGAAATTGTGGCAAAGAATTCTGTTGGAAGTCACACTTTGAAATTTATAGGAGGATTCGCACAGGAGAAAAGCCGTTCTGTTGCCATTTATGCAGGAAAACCGGATTTTTTGCAGTTATTCCGGAAAGAAATCTTTTATTTGCAATTATTGCAAACAGAGATTTACACAAAAGATCAATCTATTAAGGCGTCTTCGAATTTATACGGGAGAGAAACCATATAACTGAGATTATTGTTTATAAAAGTTTGCTCACAAATACAGTTTGAATTCTCACATAAAACGCCATAGCAAAGAGACTCTTAATTAACATAAATATTGTAAAAGTTTGAAATTTAAAAGCAACTTTGCTATTTATTCATTTCCTACGAATTTCAGTTTTTCTATCTGACAATAAAACAAATTAAAAAATTATAGAGTAAGAAGAAACCCACATTTACTCCAAAGGGACTCGAAACAACAACCATGTCAATATGAATCTAATGCACCAAGATTACACCACTGGCCACACGATCAACAACGTAAACTATAAAGGTCTTAACTGATTGTGAAGCGACTTAACGTCATGCTGTTACTCGTAAGCACGTAATGGTCCACTTAGTTATATGGTAATTTCTTAGATACTTATACTTGAGATCACAATAAATACACGTATAAAGCCAGTTTTATTGTCGGATATACAGAATATACCAATAATTCAATTAAAAAATTAAGTGCTCCAGCGGAGAGATGGTGACGTCAAAGTCATGTGGCATCTGCAGCCAATTACAGTGATGATTCATTTCTACTTTTTAGCGCGTGTTGCTTCCGTTCTTCGACGTCATACTCGAGAGTTCAATGCGGAAACGAGCCGAAAAAATGGCGGATCGAGAAGAGCAGAGTTGGTAAGTAGTTTTATTGTTTTCTGTTTATAGTGTTTCGATATGTGTGGGCGAAAAATAATTTTACGTGTTTTGCCATTGGCTATCGTATGTTTCTTCTTTATAAAAAAAATTAAGAGAGAAAGCGATGCTGTACTGCTGTCAACAGGTTAAAAAATAACGTGATAAATGACATAAGTTGATTTTCTGTCTGTTGTTTGTACTTATTTTATCACATATGTTCGCTTCAAATGAACATACTCTTACAAAATTTTTATACATAAATTTTCTAGGATATTTAAACTAAAAGAATTTAATTAACAAAAGTTTCAATTGTCTTACCGGAGACAATGACTAAGCAAAACTTCACAAAAAGCTTATTCCCTTGTGTAAATAACCGTCTGTTTACAATGTTCAAACTCGAGAAATAGACACTATTACTTTTAAAATTCACAGGGTTTAAATAAATAAATTAAAATTTCCATTTTCTTGGTGAAATTATTTTCGGTATTTAAAGTTTGAGTTAATAAGCTTTGTTTAATTTTCAATATACAAATGAATAATACTCATTCTTTTCTACAAGATATAATTCGGGTAATTCAATGTTTCTTGACGTGTAAATCGCGAATCCCTCGGTACCATTAACATGTAAAAGTGATATTTATTTGTTAAAGGCAATTGAATGAATGAAAGAAAATGAATTACATTTTTGTAAACAGATTTGATTGAAATTAATTTGATGTCAATATTTTTAATAATATATTTTATTGGTAATTATTTATATTAAGATCGTTAAGCGTTTTTTTTAACTCTGTTTTAAAACAGCATATTTAAACACAATAAAATACACATTTAAACACAATAAAAATAAAATGTTTTATTTAAAACAATAGGTTTAATACGTGTTAAAGCAGCACTTCGTAAATGTTATTTGTTTAATGATTACAAGTTTCACATGAAAGTACCAAATAACATTACAGAGAAATTCACTTATTCGACCGGTTTATAATTTATCGGTTTACAAAGCGGGAGAAATCATGTTCAGAATCAATATATAGGTTCGACAGTGTTACGTTATACACTCCTTTCCCTTGTAAGCGACAAGGAACCATATGATGCTACCAGGCATGGAATAGCCACAAGCAATGCGAGCACGCGCTAGGTTGGCTTTTAACTAAACTTATCAGTTAAAGCAGTGTTTCTCATCCTCTAATGAATCATCGTTCCCTTCAACGTAGTGTCGTCCCCTTTCAATAAAACCCTTACGTAGTATCGCCCCTTTAATTTCAAAATTCCGATGCCGAGGGCCAAGACTAACGCCAAATTTGTACTACACTGAATAGTATAATATTATAGTCACTAGTACGTTATTTGTTTAATTATTGTTCGATATACCTAATGAAATATCTAATTATTCTTAATGTAATGTTTTACTATATCGCCCGGAAAATTGTTTTTTGCCCTTCCAAATATATAGTGTTAATAATCGCCCTTTCAACATGAAAAACACCCACATGGGAGCGATATCGCCTCCGTTGAGAAACACTGAGTTAAATGCTTGCTCCTTTTTCTTCAGTTTGTAATGTAAACTTGTAATTATGCTATGTGTGAATGTCAGATCCACACGAGGAGAAAATTTAATTTTTAATTACAATGTATCGATGTCCGTTTATTTAGAACAGCGTTTCTCAAAGTGGTAAATAACGCCCCGTTGTGGGCGATGAGTAGATCTAGTGGGCGCTGGAAGCAGAGTATTGAACGGTGACCAAAGGCAAAATTCGGGCTGAGAAGAGGAAACATTGCGTTTAATGGTTTCCAGATGTTGAGAACAATGTACGGTAAGGGCACAAAGTGTGAGATTCGTAGAAAAGTTTTCCAAAGAATATTTCTAATCCTTTTAAACAAAAGAGAAAATGGATTAGGGGACGTTGGGTATAACTTTATGGAACAAAGGGGGCGGTGGATCAAAAAAGTTTGGGAATCACTGATTTAGAACATACGAAATACGTGTTGATGAAAAAAAGACCTGAAGATTTTATTATCTGTTACTGAATATAACATGTAATTGTTAATTCTTTGTAAAATTAAACTTTCGTAATTTATTTCAGAGTCTAGAAAAATCTCCAGCTTCCCTCTCTTAACGAACTTGTTTAATTACTTTTTAGAATGAATTATGATTGATTAAAATTATGTTAGCATAATGATTTTTTACTTTGAAGCTTTAGGCTTATATGACAAAATAATGGAAAACTCCAGGAAATAGCAGTTTGGGACTAGCATTATTAGTTATAAGAGTAAAGCATACAATGACCTATACACACAGAGATTCAGGATACGATAGGTTACAGAAAAATCAATTATTGTTCGTAGACAATTACAAAACAATTCCACACGAATCGTGGATTATTTACATTTTCTATAATGAAAAATGTACAAACAAATTTTTGTTTTTTAATTTTTTTTTTAAATTTTAGTCAGGGAAGTTATGTAATACGTATCGAAGATACATTTATTCAACAAAGGACCGTCGATAATCAGTCAAAAACGATACACATATACAGAAATTTTTACATTAACAAAAGGACACTTTGATATTATTATTAATATCTATTGATAATCAAATAATAACTCTGATCTATCATACAAAGTGTTTTTTTTTAAATATGAAGGAATATCTTTATTCTATTAACCTAATTTTATTTCGGACTACGCTCCTCCTCAGTCTACTAAAGGGCATATCCCGAAAAAATTCTTTGTTGATAGAATAGAGATGTCGTTTCTTTTAAAAAATGCAGCGTTTCCTGGTACGATAGCTCATAGGAAATAAAACTTGATTATCGCGGAACCATCAAAACCCAAGATGATAAGCTAATACAAAAACTTTAATACTGTATCTATTTTTAAAATATTAGTAATGCATTTATTTATACACCATTGTCGGAAATACTACAACTAACGTACAGCACAATAAAGATGTTTGTTTCAAAGTAATAATAAATACCTTTCTATTATTTTAGGATTTCTTCGAGTAAGATACTAATCCGAAACGCAGAAAACGAAGAAATTATTATATCAGTAGCTCATTTAAATAAAGTCTTGAACAGGCAATTGGAACATCACATCACATATTTTGAAAATTCGAAAGTACTGTTTATGCCTTATCCAATCCAGATCATCAGATTATTTGTTACGTAAGTTTTTCACGATACTTACCTTTCATTTAATTTCAATACATTGTCATAAATTATAATTTATATTTTTTTAAAGTTATGTACGGACGGACGATCCCGGATTGACATCTATTACACACGCTTTCCATCTGTATCATCTGAGTTTAAGATACGAGTTAGAGAATTTAAGAAAGAAATGCAGATCATTTATCATTCGGCAAATATATCTTAATAACGTCTGTGCAATTCACGATTTTGCACGTAAGATCGGTGATCTGCTCATAACTTATTATTGCTGGCAAGCTTTCGACGAACACGGAGAAAGGCTATTTACAACAGACGACTTTATGTGCTGTAAAATTGCAACAATTGATAGACTGCTATCTCGACCGATATATGAATCTGTCCGTGAATTGCGTTTACTCCAAGCCGTGTATCAGTGGAGCATAGAAGAAGTTAAAAGAAAATTGGGTGCGGACAACTTCCATGCCATGAATGAAGAATCGAAAAGGAATGCAATAAGAAATGTTATGGAGCCATTTATTGAAAATGTTAGATTTCTTGCCATGGATGAAGACGAATTGCAATCTTGTGTTTTTACAATGAACTTGTTAAGCGAAGAAGAAAAGAGTCATATCTGGCATGCTTTTAAGTATAATTATTATTCCTTGTATCCCTGTTACTTCAGTCCAGAAACAAACACAAGAAGCAAAAAAAATTATTGTAACTTGTTCTCGTACATAAATCGTGGAGTTCCTTTTATGGTCGCAAACAGAAAGATGAAAGATTACATATATTTTAGCAGCGAAATAGTTGTGAGGGAAGATTGTTACGTTACGACTCTTCGATTTCCAATGAAGCTTGGCGAACGTTTTCCAATGTACGTATGCGGGTATATTAACGATTTGGACAACGGACAGTTTTCGTTTGACATTGTTTGTAATTCAGAGGGAGTAGCATATATGCAAACGTTTTTGTATCTAGAAAAATATTGGTCAATTCGTTTTTTTGCTTTCTTTTACCCCTCTGAAAATGTTCAACCCGATATCGAGTTTTCACGTCAACTGAGTAACTTTGTGAGCGAAGAAGGAACAGAAGCCAGGGAATTTGAAGACAAATTCCTAACCTGTGACAGAAACCTTATGAATAATATTTATTTTTCGGTTAATTTACATTTTTGAAGTCAAAAGTTTCCTTAGAGGAAAGCGAAATCTAAACGAGAATATAATGTAAAGTTAAATTCTAATGTGATTATTTTTTACTGTATCGCTATAAAATTTCTGGAAAATGTGTGTGTACGTAAATGAATAATGAATTTATTGAATTTACATAAAACATAATTTAAATATAGAGTGTTTATTAATGTAAGTTTTCTTTTTAAAATGTAAATTGTCATTAGTCGAATTGTTATAATTTAAAATTTAGTATTTACAAATACAGTCGACCCCGTATAAGATCATTGATTATTCCGTTTTATATGAATTCCATGTTGTACGAGTCACTTAGATTTTACAAATACGTGTACCGGGCTGTAAACGGCTCACGTATTTGTAAAATTTAAGTGACTTGTACAACATGGAATTCATATAAAACGAAATAATCAATGATCTTATACGGGGGTCGACTGTAATTCACCATCAAGAAATTTTATAATTGTTAGCATTTTAATGCTAATTACGTGCGTGATTTTCATTTTTTTTATAAAAGTAACGTTCGAGAAAGAAATATAATTACAGTAGATTCCCCTATAATTACAGTCCCTATAATTACGATTTCTATAAAACTGCGAAAAAATTGCGACGGTATCCGTAAAAACCGGTAAAAAAAACTCCTATAATTACGTAAAACGTCATCGGGCAGCCGTACTACTTTCCCGCCGTCCGTAGCGCCACGCTACGGAGAGATTAGTATCGTCTGTACAGTATTATATATAAATTAGGTACTGTACATATAATTAGGCTTATATATTAATTATATATAAATTAGGTACTGTATATATAATTATATATTAACTTAATTTATTGTACCTTTATTATAAATATATATATGCTTTCTGCAGCCTGGCAACACGTTACGGAGATTTTAGGCTAACTATCGTCTGTACAGTATGTAAATTAGGTACCGTAAGTCTAATACAGTACTGTAATTTTATACATTTCTTGTGAAAGAAACATTTCTCATTCAACGGCCATAAAAATTATTTTTATTAATGATGTCTCCGAAGTTCAACGAAGTTTTTACAGAAAAATAAGTTGTAATTCAAACACAAATAATTATCGTATTTATCTTCAGGCACTTGGCAATACTTATCATCAAGTTTTATTCAGTTCAACTGAATAAAACTTGATGATAAGTATTGCCAAGTGCCTGAAGATAAATACGATAATTATTTGTGTTTGAATTACTACTAATAACTACAAGCACGGTTTCAAAAGTACCAGAAAAATAAGTTATCAGAAATCGATCGTTGTTTGGTGTGCTGCTTCGCGACGAAAACAAGCTTTAGCAATGGCGATGTCGAATGGTAAGTAATCCTACAATTTTTTGTTTATAGCGTAGTTTATACGGATTATTTCCAAAAAAATATATACGTATTTTGGAAATGTTGAGTCGGATTAGTATAGAATCGATTAATTTTATCGAAGAAAACCTTTCAATCAGCCGTAGTCCGTAAACTTGACACGTGTCGGGCTGTGATTGGAAGGACTCGTAAGAAATCAGATTCCTAAAGAATGGAACGTATCTATGATCTTATAAGGGGGTCGAATGTACAATCTTTCTGCATTAATCTTTTCTTTCTTCATTTTAATGACGATAGAAGTATGAATCGTTAAAACTAAAATTTTTGTCTAAATGTACGAGCTATTCGATATCCACGTTTCAATTTTATTATTTACAGTATTGTTCTTTTTTATTCGTTGTATAGAATGTGATGTTTTACCATTCTCATCTACGACACTTTGCGTAAAAATAATTGGCTTGAAATTTGATTTTTTGAAGTGAATGTGTCCGGAAATCTTACCTAGTTACTGACATTTTCTGTTAAAAGAACATGCGTTTAAAACAGTGTTTCTTAACGTGGGGCCCACGCCCCACAAGAGCGCAATTCGATTGTTAAGGGGGGCAATTTGAAAATGAGTTGTTGATTTTTTTTTAGGCATCAGAATTTTTCATCGAGCTATTCGGACTTGAGTAGCTAATATTGGAAGATTAATCGCGGGCCACATAAATTCATTAGACAGGCCGTATGTTGGCCATGCCTGGTATAGCCACTGTATATGTCAGGGGGGCATGAGAATTTTAGAAAGGCTTAAGTGGGGCATAGCACAAAAAAGGTTGGAAAACACTGGTTTAAAACGAGTTGACAGCAGAATTTTTACAGAAGCAGTTTGCATATTCAAAAGAAGCTATATAAGGTGTATCTTTAATACTACAGTACCTCATCTCTTTAATACTACGGGATTACACTAAGGTAGTTTTGATAGAGGTACTGTACGTTACGGAAACGCAAACTAAGAAGGGATTTTTCGAAATTTCCCGCGGGGGGGAGAGAGAAAGAGAGAGAGAGAGAGAGAGGATTAACGCTTAACCGGAAGAACGGCTTCTACTGTACTATTTTCTATGCGTTTTTTTGTCTTCAACTACGTTTAGTCTTCATTGAGTACTTAGGTGTGTTAAATTGATAACATTTCAGACATTGTTATAAGTATTTTCATATATTTCGATTTTTTAACCAAATGTTCGAACCACAATTTTTATTGTCATATTATTTAAAAATTTACATCAATATATTATATTTTGTGGCAATTTTAACAATGTTGCTTTATTTTAATGCCTGTTTTATAAATGGATATGTTTAAGTACAAAGACGAAGTATTAAGTAATATTTTTTAAATTTTCTTCTGTTTTGTATAATACTAATAGAAGACATTAATTATCCAGTGTTATTTTTTCCTTTAATTAATCGAATAGAAAGCAAAATTTTTATAACATGCTAGAATCGAAATTTCTTTTGAGTTCGGCCTTTCCTCCTTAACAGAAAGTATAACCTAACACGCATGAAACGTAATTAGTCAATAAGTGGAAAAGCCGTAGAACAATACAGAAAATTCTTAGACAAATATGCTATTTTAATTACAACTTATAGGAATTAGTATTTTTCCTATCAGTTTGACTTATTTCTAGCTTTATAGATGTAATAAATAAATTGGTAAGCTGTTAAAGCTGTTTTTTGAATATCTTTAGTGTTTACACGCATTAATTAAAAACATAGAATTTAATTTCTGATAATTTATATTATAATAAAAATATTTGTTAGACACATTTTTTCATTATATTATATATATTTTTATGTTTTTCGTTATGGTACTGAAATTAAGATGCATTATTACAATCGATGACGAATCGCAGAAATACGGTACATAAAGTGAATTTTTTTCTTTATATTTTCCTAACTTTTAATGTGAACTTTTAATATAAATAACATTAAATTACGTACTTAACACCCTACCTGGTCCCACCAGTGGCCAAGCGGTCTTAGTACCCTGAACACTGAGTTCGGCGCCTGAACACTGGGTTTGCGCCTTGCTCGAACGGGCTGGCCACGTGGAGTTTTCGTGTTTTCTTCAGTATGTAAACGCATAAATAGGGGCAAGATTCCCTTAAAAAGACTTACTGGAAGGCATCCCCCCTAGGTGGATCGCCCAAGTTGTGTTACCATAACTCAAACAAACCAAACCGAACCGAACCAAAACACTACCTGTATATTATCAACGAAAATTATTGAAAACATAGACTTGGATGCAACTTATAAAACTGCAATTTTTTTTGTTTACTATACACACTACTCTTCTCTATTACTACCGTGTCAATATTTTATAAAACATAATGGAAATACAGTCGACCCCCCTATAAGATCATAGATACGTTCCATTCTTTAGGAATCCGATTTCTTACGAGTCCTTCCAATCATAGCCCGACACGTGAGAAGTTTACGGACTACGGCTGATTGAAAGGTTTTCTTCCATAACATTAATCGATTCTAGACTAATCCGACTCAACATTTCCAAAATACGTATATTTTTGGAAATAATCTGTATAAACTACGCTATAAACAAAAAAATTGTAGGATTACTTACCGAGTGTGCACCATTCGACATTGCCATTGCTCAAGCTTGTTTTCGTCGCGGAACAGCTTAGCAAACCGCGGCCGATTTCTAATAACTTATTTTTCTGCGAATAGTTCCTTGAACTTCGGAGACATCATTAATATAAATAATTTTAATCGCCGTTCAATAAGAAATGTTCTTTCACAAGAAATGTATAAAATTACAGTACTGTATTAGACTTACGGTACGTAATTTACATACTATACAGACAATAGTTAGCCTAAACTCTCCATAGCGTGGCGCTACGCGGCGGAAAATATATATATAAATAATTATAATAAAGTTACAATAAATTAAGTTAATATATAATTATATATACAGTACCTAGTTTATATATAATTAATAAATAATTATATGTACAGTACACTTCCAATATCCAATAGAGGTATTTTAAACAGGCCGCTGCACTAGCGCAAAATTCTTCATTGCTTCTTCTGTGACAAAACTGAATTTTAGTCTTTTAAATTGATATACCTAAATAAGGGGAGACGAAATTTTCCTCCGCCGCGGGCGGCTGACACCCACGGTACGCCACAGGTTCACTCTTTTGTCTGCAGTTCAATACTCTTTACATTTCGTCAGAACGAAAAACAAAAGAAAATGTCTTCTCTTTTCTATTTTAATGTATAAATATATCAAGATAATATCTATTAAAATAAGATTAAATTAAAATTTCTAGATGATACATTACCATTCACGGACGTTAATTACGCCCTTGCGCTGATCATCGGCGATAGATTGTGGGCTCCAACGGACAGAAACGTACAACCTTCCATATCGACTTTTCTCTGTAACCAAAGGAGTACTGAAGTACGTCACTAGTAACGATCTAAGAGTTAAGTATTATACTTATTCATACATTTTCTCTTCCTTTTTTCCATTCCATCGAAGTAAGGATCAACACGTTTCCTCTCGTTCCTTCCCTGAAAAATTTTCCTTTCCAGAAAACAACTTTAAATCTATTGAATAATTGCGATGAAAACATACTTTGTCCTTTCTGTACTTCTGCGCTGCACTCGTTACACTTCGATGCAACAACCGTCCATTTAAAAATTAGAATAAGTGTTGCCATCTAATGTTTAAATTTCGAAAACATATAAATTTCTATTTTCCGAAATTT